CCTGGAGGGTTTTGAAGGCGGAGATGAGGATTTTGAACTCTATCCTCTGAGGGATGGGGAGCCAGTGGAGTTGGGTGAGAGGCTTCCGGAGCCTGGTGCGGGAGAGGACATGGGCTGCAGACTTCTGGATAATCTGCATCTTATAGAGGGAAGAGTTGGGAAGGCCGACAAACATTACCCAGGTGGAATGTCCACCTGCAAGATAGGGTGACCATACATGCCCAATTTCTGGGGACAGACCCCGGATAAAGTATTCTATTCTTGGCTAAATATGTCCTGTCTTGAGTTCAGTAATGAACTGAGAAAGAATAAAATCATTCTAAAACAGATACACTCATCAGAAAAATAAAGCTGTTAATATAACAAGCTTCTCCAGTACTGCCAGCATCAGGAATTGTGGTGCATTTAATTTTTTTTATGTGTCCCCGGATTTAGTTTACAAAATAGAGTCACCCTACAAAAGAGGTACTGTATGTAGTGCACGGGCTGATCCTTCTTAGTTTGTCAGTGCTTCTAATGATGATAATAATACTTGCATTTAATATAGCATTTCTTATGTCGGGAGGACACCTCAAAGTGCTCTACTACATTTCCTGTAAAGTCCAGTGACTCTGTATTGTGTAGATAAACCAACTTGGCATCAGAAAAGCCCCACAAGCAACCTTCAAGCAGATCAGTTTAATCTGGGAGATTGTTTTCCAGACCTCTCTCATGGCTCCTCTATTAAAGATTTAAAATTCCACATATCAATTTACACGGGGAAAAAAATAATGCTGCCAAAAACTTCCCTTTAGTTCACACCATTGTGCATTACTTTATAAATGCGTTTTGCCAGGGGTCATGTAGTTAAACCTGATGGTGGGGCGATACCTGTAATCTATGCATATTTCTCACAAAAACCTTCACAGCCTCTCAGATTATTAATTTCACGAGCCAAGACCATAGCGGCCCATTTGAGGAACACAGGAGGCCTCTGTTACAGATGTCTAAATTTGAAACATTCCCATGATAGCAATGAACAAAGCACTCCTTCCTTTCAGGAAAATCCTGGACTCTCACTCCCAAAGGCCTGGTGTAGCAGAGAACTAGTTGGAAAAACAGGAAACACATGTGAGAGCCAGATACAACTAAGCAACTTTAACTCACGGAGAGAGCTCTAATAATTGTGGATTTATTAAAGAAAAACAGGCACTTTTCCTGGCGGATAAAGATCACAGAAGGATATGTTACTTTTTTTAAACTGGACCTTAAAATATTTAGAAAGAAAACTGATAGGTTAAATTTATTCTGTAAAATAAATTTAAATGTATTCACTTAACCTCAAAGTTTCTTGAGGTTTCCCTTTCTGGTTCCACGGGTGAAAGAAAAGAAAGAATTGCTTTTTTGTGTAACGCATTGAAACATCTCAAAACGCTCTACACATATTTGCAGCCAAATGCACTGACTGTTTTTGTAGGTGAACAGAGCAGTCATCGTACACCAGCAATGTCCCCCTTAACCAGTCATGAGGGGAATCCACTCAGTAATGTTGTAGTGAGGCATATACATCGCAAAGATTATGCCTTCAATATAATAATAATCCTTGCATTTGATATAATGCCTTATCACGTCAGTGAAACATCTCAAAGCGCTTCACAGAGTATATTGTAAAGTGAATTGACTGTGTATTTTGTGGACGAAACCCAGCAGCCCATGTTCACATCAGTATCCCACAAACAATCGTGGATTGTGTGACCCAAATTTTTTGAGAGGGATTATTAACCCCGGAAAGCGATCTGACAATTCCTACTTACTGCTTAGGTAAACAGCCATGTGGAGTAAGGAAACTTTCCTAAGGTTTTGCCCCACCTGGGAATTGCAACCGAGTCCTCTCACTTGCGAGGCGAGTGCTCTAACCACTACATTGCAGGACTACACCGGTCAGGCTGTGCTGAGGTAGCCAAACTCAGCCAGTGATGGGAGAAAGCACCCTACAATTGGTCTCAACTTCAATTGGGTTAGAGAAGGGAGGGAGAACTAGGGAGAAATCAGTCAGGGTTTCTTTCTGATTCAAATAGCTGTCCTGTTTCCCCCGGCTGGAAAGTGTCTGGATGTTGATGTTAGATGGAACAGTAGTGTATCTATATAGCCAAACGGCCTGCCATTGTTTCTGGCTAGGTTCACACCTAAAGAATAACCACTTGAGTGAGATGCAGAAGGATTGTTGTTACACCATGGATGTCTACCCTAGTATATGTCCTTAAGGCCCATGTCACCTTCCGTCGCCCCTGCTAGCTTCCCCCACAGCCACCCTTGCTCAGACTCCCAGTCAGCTGTGTGAAGTGCTTAAAGACATCCTCCCAAACTTGACGGACCCTATAAAAATATAAATTATGATTCTAGAATCACTGGGAAAGTTGGAAGAAATAAAAGCCTTGAAGTTTGTTTATTCATCTGCTAAAGTCATGTTATTCCTGCATAACATTTTCAATAATCTCCAAGGAAACATGTTGTGGGTATTGCAGCCCGCCTTGTCTTATGGTATTGTTATCTGTTTTTTAAATTACCTTTTATTATATTTTATTGTATCCCACATTCCAGCCCTTTTCCCATACCGCTTGATGTTTTTACTGCCAAGATTAGTCAGTTTCAACAGATTATTTGATAAACAGGTGGTGGGGGGAGAGGAGATCTATTTGTAGCCCATGGACACTGAGACCAATTGAGACCAATTGCTGTGTCTTTAATTGCTGCCCCGGCTGAGATCAGCTCACTCAACACAGACTGGAATTGAACCTACAATTGTGGCTTTCAACTGCACTCAACTTTCAACTGCAAAGGTTTCCACAGTGTACCTGAAACAGAGGCCTTGAAGAAATTTTAAGGTTAAGTGAATATGTTTGAGTTTCTATTTGATGCAGTAAATTTAGCTTCATTGTATTTCTTTCTCTAAATATTAAGGGACAGTTAAAAAGAAAAATTATTGTAGCTTTTTTTTCTCTCTGATCCATTTTTACCAGTTTTATACAGGAAACTGAACAGGATTTTCACTTTAATAAATCAGAAGTCGCACTGGAGCTAATTCATAAAATCAGAGAATGGGGGAAGGGGGAATGGAGAGAGGGGGGGCAATGGAGGGAGAGGCAATGGAGTTGGGGGGCCATGGAGGGAGGGGCGGAGCCATGGGTGGGAGAGGGGGCCATGGGTGGGCAACGGAGGGAATGGGGGGCAACGGAGGGAGGGGAGGAATAGAGAGAGGTAGGGATAAAATAGAGAGAGAGTGGGGAAAATAAAGAGAGAGAGTGGGGGGAATAGAGAGAGAGGGGGAGACAGGGAGGGGGGACTAGAGAGAGGAGGGAACAAGAGAGAGGCGGGTGATGAGGGAGGGGCAAACAGGGGAAGGGAGTATACAGAGGGCGGTGGGATGGGAGATAGGGGAGGGGGGATTAGAGGGGTGGTGGGGCAGTCGTGCATATATTAAAAATAATGTGACTATGAATCGACAGAATAGGATGTGAACTCTGCTGATCCCCATACTTGAGGCTGGACACAAGGGTTAAAATTTATGCCTCGGTATGACCTTGCCTAGACCTCAATCATAAGACCCAGGCTTTGGCAGTGAAGGAACTCTCATGCTGAGAAAGCACAGTGTAGTTGCTGGAGTCAGGACTATATGAGTTGGAATTGAAGCTCAGCAGCTGGCCAGTTGCTCTCTGTGAAGCACAGTTATTCCACGAACTATATATAAAAAAAAGCGTTCTTGGGACTGTTTCTCTTTGCTCTTAATCATCCAAAAGAAACTACTGGCCGCCTTTTAGAATTTGCTAGAATGTACAATTTCAGGTGCTGCCTGCTTGATGTAATTTCTGGGGCAGTGTAAGGCTGAGCTCAAGAACCTTTAACCCCTGATGTGTTTTGGAGTTTGCTAATCTCAGCAAGGGGGAATGTTGTTGGGGAGGGATGGGGGATGGGTTGGTAGTGCAATTGGCCTCAGAATAAGGAGGTGATAAATTGGCCAGGGGGGTTCCTTTCCTTTGCTTTTGGTTAAATGCGCAATTGTGTTTCTTATCCAACAATAGAAACAATAAACCAAAAGAGTTTGATTTGCTTTACTTCAGTCCACTTTTCTCAAGCTGCCATGGTTAGGCATCAGCTTCGGTCAATTGGTAGCACTCACACCTCTGGATAAGAAGGTTGTGGGCACAAATCACACGTCAAGATTTTGAGCTAACACTGCAGTCCTAGAGGCTGTACTGCCGTCTTTAAGATGAGATGTTAAACTGAGATCGTACTAGCTGTTTGGGTGGGCATTCAACAACAGCAATAACAACAACTTGGATTTATATAGTGCCCTCCATGCTGGATCCACGTCCAAGATCTCATAATGCACTACAATCCAATTTATATAACACCTTTCAAGTCAAAGAATATCTCAAAGCACTTGACACTGCTGGCTGGGAACCTGAGCTGGGGTTGGGAGCTGAAGGGGTTGGGGAGGGGAACAATGACCAATAGCACGATCAAAGAGGCACCGTGAAAGAGGTGGAGGCATTCCACTTGACACTATTTGAAAATAAAAGGGAATTCTTCCTTCAGATAAAGTGATCATTTACCTCCTGTGTGTAAATTGGTTACCAGTGATTGCCCTGGTTACAGGGGGGAGTTTAGGTCAAAGGATTGAAGGGGTTGAAGTCCAGATTAAATCCAGATTTGGATGAGCGAACTGGCCTTTAAAATGTGCCTACTGTGAGCAGCTGTGCTGGGGGTGTCTGCTCCCTCTACTTCCTCCTCCTAATATAGCTCTAAGGCAGTGCTCTAAGGCACTCCCCCACTGGCTCCACCCTGTATAGTCACTAAACTTGACGGCAATTACCTGTGAAATGCTTTGAGGTGTTTTGACATTATAGGCCCTACAATTAAGTGCAAGGATTATTTCTATGATTAAGTTAGACAACAACAAATTGCATATAATGAGATTTTACGTTGGCAGGACATTCCAAGGTACTGGATAGTCGAGGGCTTGCACCCGAGCTGGAGATTGGATTCGGGAGGGAGTGAGGGCCAAGGAGAGCGTGGAGGTAGGAAGATGACTGAAGATGCGATAAAAGAGGACAGTCTTGAGATGGACCTAGAAAGAGGCGAGGTGAAGGAGCGAGGCGAAGGGCCTCTGAGATGGGGTTCCAGAAGGTGGGGCAGAAAGGATGAAGGCCTGATAGACATAGACAAGAACGTTCCTGAACACACTCCCAGTGTAAAGCAATGAGTTATTTATGGATAATAATTTTTGCATTTGATATAACGCTTTTCACGTCGGGAGAACGTCCCAAAGCGCTTCACAGAACACACTGTAAAGTGAATTGACTGTACATTTGTGGGCGAACGCAGCAGCCAATTGGGCACAGCAATGTCCCACAAACAGTCGTAGATTGAAAATGACCAATTTATTATTGTTTTTGGTTTTGGAGGGATTATTATTAGGCATGTGGAGTAAGGAAACTTGCCCAAGGTTTCGCCCTGCCTGGAATTGAACTCGGGTCTCTCGCTTGCAAAGCGAGTGCTCTAACCACTGAGCTACAGGGCTCCACAAATGGCTATTTTTGCTCTGGAAATCAATTTGTTTGTGTCATGTGGAGTTCAGCTTGCCTAGAATGATGTGCATCGTGACAGTGTTCAGTTGATTTACTTGCCTCTCCCAAAACTGCACTGCTGTGTGATTTAAACCCAATAAACAACAACAACAACAACAACAACAAGATTCCACTTATAGAGCGCCTTTCACGTCAGGAGGACGTCCCAAGGCGCTGCACAGTTGGGTCATGACCCGAGCAGTAGCTCTTGAACAAGGATTTCAGAGCATTGAATATCATATTGGGACTACACCAGTTTCTGCTTCAGTTGTTGGAGGACATGTGATACAGATATAATTAAACAGTGTGACATTAGCTATGTTTCATAGCATGGGTCTTATTTTAATTATGAAATCATTAGACACTAGAATTTTCACCCCAAGGTTTCACCCAATAGCTCAATGGCTCATCCTGACGTGAAAGGCTCTACATCAAACTCAAAATTATTTTTGCTATTATCAACAATGGGGTGTAATCTTCAACAATTTTTTTTTCGTCAGCCAGGTGTGGAAACCCACCACCATGTATCCAAACCAAGCTGAGATTTCCATGCATCCCACCGACACATGGAAATCCCAGAGACAGATTGTTTTAATGGAAGCGCACTCTGTCCCTGGAATGATGCATCCTGCTTACCTCATTCTGGAAAGTATTAGGCGAGGTTGACATGAGCCAAGATTTGGGGACCCCAGTGTGGTTGGAGGCTAACCAGCTAAAACCGCATAACTTGCCATTGATATCGCTGTCCGACTAGCTTTCCCGCTGCTTGTCCAGCTAGGACCACCCTACCCATAAGGGCTTTGGCTTGCAGGGTTAACAGGAGATGAGTGGGATGACTCCAAAAAGACCCCACTTACCTCCCCCAAGGAGGACAGTCACTATTCATAACGCATTCACAACATCCAGGCTTGATTATGCAAACTCTTTGCTTGTCGGCCTCCCCAACTCTTCCCTCCATGAGCTGCAGATCATCAGAACTCTGCAGCCTGTGTCATCTCCCGTACCAGGCTCTGTGACCCTATCACTCCCATCATAGCCCGACTCCACTGGTTTCCCATCACACAAAGAATTCAAGATCCTGATCCTCACCTTCAAAGCCCTCCGTGGCCTTGCTCTCCCCCACCTCTGTAACCTCCTAACCCCCTACCATCCCGCCTGCTCCTCCGCTCAGTGGGCTCCAGCCTGCTTCACATCCACCACCTTGCCCGACCCACCATTGGTGGGCAGGCCTTCTGCCATTCTGCCCCCCGCAGTCTCCAATCCCGCTCCATCCCGCAGTCCCTCCACCTCACCCCCTCCCTGACCTCCTTCAACACCCACCTCTTCAACTGTGCTTTCGATCACCCCCAGCTCGGCTCCAAAACACTGACTGTCCAGCACCTTGGGGCGTCCTCCTAATGTGAAAGGCGCTATACAAATGTAATTTTGTTGTTGTATTCATAGATTACTATTCACTATTCATCAATTCATAGATATGACTTACTGAAGACTGGTGTGGTATTCCTCACATCAAACACTTTATGAAACACTGCCAATTTTGCCCCAATAACATTTCATCGATGAACTACTCATGACACCTAATTTATTTGGTTAATCAGGTACATTAGGGCTATAGTCTGATCAGTGTGATGTGATGCTGCTTTTCTGCAGAATTTCCAGCTTCTTTATCCAGCTAAACCTTTCCTGGTGGTTCCCCAATACATTTGTTTGTGCTCACACATGAGTGAAAATAATGGAAACAATTAAGCTATTGAAATCCCTTTATCCAAGGTTAAATCAGCAATAGGATACTGATCAGACGATCATGTGACTTTGGCAACCATTTAAAGACTAAACATTCTTGACCTAAAATTATAGAGTTTGGAAAAGCATTCCAGAATAGAGGGGATGAAAATTGCAACCTGTGATTTGTTTAGCAGCAGAATCTTGAAGGTCTTGGAACTTAAAGCGCACATAGTCTAGACTGACACTCCAATGCAATCCTGGAGATACATTAGAATATACAGCACAGAAACAGGTCATTTGGCCCAACAGGTCTATACTGGTGTTTATGCTCCATATGAGCCTCCTCCTGCCCTTCCTCAACTAAGCCTTCAAGCATAACCTTCTATTCCTTTCTCTCTCGTACCTATTGAGCTTTCCTTTAAGTACATCTATGCTATTTGCCTCAACAACTCCTTGTGGTAGCATGTTCCACATTCCCACTACTTTCTGAGTGAAGAAATTTCTTCTAACTTCCCTATTTGATCTATTTGTGACTATTTATATTGACACCCCCTGGTTTTGGTCTCCCCCACAAGACTATGTGTGCTTAAAGTTTCAGGACCTTCAAGATTCTGCTTCTAAACAAATCACAGGTTGCAATTTTCATCCCCTCTATTCTGGAATGCTTTTCCAAACTCTATAATTTTAGGTCAAGAATGTTTAGTCTTTAAATGGTTGCCAAAGTCACATGATCATCTGATCAGTATACCCTCTTTTCAAGAGAAAAAAGTCCAAGCATGTTCAGCCTTTCCTGATAGGCATAACCTCTCAGTTCTGGGATCATCCTTGTGAATCTCCGTTGTACCCTATCCAGTGCCTCTACATCCCTTCTATAATTTGGGGACCAGAACTGCACACAGCATTCTAAATGTGGTCTAACCAATATTCTATAGAAGTTTACCATAACTTCCCTGCTTTTCATTTCTATCCCTCCAGAAATGAAACCCAATGCCTGGTTTGCCTTTTTATGGCTTTATTAACCTGCGTTGCTACTTTTAGTGACTTGTGTATGTATACCCCAAGATCCCTTTGTTCTTCTACCCCATTTAGGTTTTTATTTTCCAGGATGTATGTGACTTCCTTATTCCTTCTACCAAAATGTACCACCTCACACTTTTCTACATTGAAATATATTTGCCATTTAAATGCCCATTCAACAAGTTTATTAATGTCTTGCTGTAATTTGTTGCACCGCATTATTAGATTTGCTGCCCTTTGGATGAGATGTGAAACTAAACTTATGTCTGTCTGTTCAGCCCATTTGATGTACATTGGAGGACTGGGTAATATAATAATAAAAAGAAGAATACTAATAATATTAATAATAATCTTTGTATTTGGTATAACACCTTATCAAGTAGGTGAGATATCTCAAAGAGCTTCACAGAATGTCTTGTAAAGTGGATTAACTATGTATTTTGTGGGCGGGTAGTGAGATAATGACTTAACCTTGATTTTTCTGTTGGGTTAAGCTGGTATCCCATCAGCCAGAAATGAAACATTTGGCACAGTTGGCTTCCATAGAACCATAGAAATTTACAGCATAGAAGGAAACCATTCAGTGCTACTCTGAAAGAATTATCCATTTAGTGTACATATTCCTCAATACTGCCTGACCCTTTGGCATTCTTTTTACTCCGTTCTCCTGATCTGTTCTTTGCTGCCTCTCTGAATTTCCCTTTTCATTATCTTCCATCCCTTCCCCCCCCCCTTTTTTCCCTCTCCCGATGCCCCCTTTCCTAAAGCTTTATCATGTTTGTTTCTCTTCCACTGTTGTATTAGATTCCGCACGCACCCCCCACCCCACCCTCCGCCTTAGCTCTAATTACTCTCTCAGCAAGGATATTGGTCCCAGCCCTTTTCAAGTGCTGCCCATCTATTCTGTCCAGGTCACTGGGGAGGGAGGGAGTGGGGGGATCACACACATGCACACAAAACAGTCAATAATTAATACAGTGACCAGACACATTATTCACCAATGTGCTAATTAACACACCACTGAGTTTCCAAAGTCCAGTTCAACCAGGCAAAATCCATAATAAGGGAAAGGATTTTAAAAATTAATCTACAGAAACATTTGTCTCATTGGTAGTGGCTTTGGGAGGATTTTAGTCCTTGGAAAAGCCTGTTCCAAAATCTTAGCTTGAGCAGCATCTACACGTATGTATGCACCACACACATTGTCTCTTGATTCCCTTATCAACATGATTACTTTCACAATAGATTTGTCTCTAACTGTTTCTATTTTTTTAAATTTTTGCTGGTATTCTCTCTGCCTAGTTATTTCTAGCTTCCTCGGGTCTCTCTTTCCTTCTGATCCCTCTCCCGTCCCCTTCCCCCGATCCTTCTCTTTCAACCCACTTTGAAAGATTATTAAAGCATGCCTGAGCGAAATACACCAGACAGCCACGTGGAGAAAACAGGGCATGGCAACGATTAATTCCCCTCCCTGAATACGTTTCTGGAAATCAGCCTCTGGGGAATTTGCAAAACATGCAAAAAGGCTAGCAAAATTCTCCCAAGATAGTGTCTAATTCAATTTTATTTTGCCGATCAATGAATCTTCCATATCTTTCCAGATTTTTGGCCTAGGAAGTCCAAAGTATCTTAGCATGTAAAGGGGCAAGGAGGCAGTAATTTGTCTCAAAGCTTTCCGTCTGCTAATTACTGTTAGCAGAGCAGAGAGGTAGCTGCAGATGTGGTTGTGATTGTGTCTAGTTTCTGTCCAACCGTTCATCTGGCTTCTGAACACATTTTTCATTATGTGGCTGGATTATCAGAAAAATAAAATGAATAACCATGACATTCCTTGATATAGAAGCTACAGTATCAAAATGTCAACAACAACAACTTGCACGTATATAGCGCCCTCCATGCAGGGTCGTGTCTCAGAGCGCACACACTCAGATTGAACTGGGCATCTCAGAAATATGACAAATGTCACACTTAATAGTGATTAAGTTACTGATATAGAAACTATATTGTAGTGACTTAATTACAACTAAGTGTAGGTACTGTGAACTTTGCAGCTGAATGCGGAGGCTAATTTGCGCAGAGAGGTTTGGAATTTTTGGTTACACTGAGGGTTATCAGAACATACAACAGCATTCTCCAAAATGGTTAAAGCAGAATCCAGAATAAACTTTGAACGGTAATTGAACAAAAATTAGAATTGAAAAACATATAAAAGAATATTGGGAAAGGGCAAGGCTGTGGGGAATAGGACAAAATGCTCTTTATCAGAAATCTGGCACTTCGCAGTTTCTAAGGTAGAAATATGAAAAGCTGAACTGAGATACAGAGCTAGAATGCACACATGAGCATGCAGAATGCTTACCAAGACAGGGATGACTTTGTGCTAATGGAAGTGTTTATTAGCGAAACTAGTCATACAATCATGTACTGTCTTCATGAGGAAATCACTGATAAAGAAAAAGGCAGTTTCAAAAGCATGTAATCCTTAAGGAATTATCAATGGTAGCATAACCTTGCAATCCAGTGTTTAAAAAGTAATGTTGACTCCAGTGCTATATTTAACAACATGTAATCCTTACATTTGCGTCTTATCATGTTGCTGAGACTTCTCAGGCGCTTCACAAGATTTCATTGTAAAGTGTAGTGTCCGTGTACCTGTTATTATTGCACAGAGCAATAAATAAAAATAATAATAATAATTCTTGCATTTGATATCATATCTCATCATGTCGTTGAGATGTCTCAAAGTGCTTCACAAAATCTCCGGCAGATTGGTGGACGTGACTATTTATTTTGTGGGCAAATGACCCACAAAGAGTCATGAAGTGAATGACCAATTCTGTTTAGAGAATTGTTGGTCAGGACATACTCAATACACAACATGGCCATTTTCCTAGATGACATTTTGGATGGCATTTTGCGTGCTCAACACCGGGGAAGTTAGCATAAATTTTGTTCTATTAAAATCAGCATAGCTAGATTTTTTTTAAGAAAAAGAGCATTACATTTTAAATCAAATGAAAGACCCTTTATTTGATTTTTTTTCTAGAAAGGACAAGCTAACTTGGCTTCTGTTAGTGATTACCTTTGACCTTTGCGGCGAATGCGTAGAAGGCAACATCATCTGTTAACCATCACTTGTGTGATTAATAAAAATGAATGTGATTTTATTTTTTCACATGATTTGCATTGCCGAGGCAGAAGATGCCAGCTCAGATATAGTGTTCACTACAAGGCTGAAAACACATTATTTCTGCACAAAAGCAGCTGCCCTGAAAAAATTAAAGCCAATCAAAAAATGTATCCACTCATTTGCCGGAAATTTGGGAAGGAAAGGAATCTAAGCAATACCACATGTTTTTCCAATACCCTATAGTGCAAATAATTACCGTGATAATATGCACATCATGCAATGGGCTGAATTGTATTTCCTCCCCTCCCCACACATATACACGCTCCCAACTATTTCTCCCCTTCTCGGGTCTTAAAATCCACCTAGTCTCAGCCTTTAAGCCTTTAGTTTTTTGTCTGAAAATCATAAGATTCCACAGGATGCTGGAAAACCGCTTAAATTCAGCCTTAATTTGGGAGCCAGCTTGCTACACATCTTAAAGAGAAATGCACTATCTTCCAAATTAAAAAAAAGAATTTGAGAATTCTCGGCACAAATGCACAATCTTAAATTTTAAGACAAAACAATCTTGCACTCTAAGGCGAGGTAGAATTTTAATTCTCTAGCGACCACATTTCCATAGGCACCAATTGCCATTTTGTAGCTTTCAGTGATCCTAGACTCTTATCCTCCACGAAGGGTGCTACATAAATACAAGTTATTGTTGTTGTACTTGGTTATTCTTCATACAAATATAAGTTTGTAGAGAAAAAAAATCAGTACAATCCACCTGGCCGTCTCTATTTTCTAAAAATATAGAATGTATCTCTTATACTGTCAAACAAGTCAGAGAGCAAAATACTACCTGACCCTTCAGCCAGGGTTCCTCTGGAGTAGAAAGTCTGGCTAATCCCACCCTCACCTGCATATCCCTGGAGTACTGAAGATAATTTTAGCATTCCCACAACCACCCAAGTTCTGATCAGTTAGAAGGAGTCTAATAATAGTAAGCCTTTTCACTAAGTCTTTATCATGGGATTTGCCATCATAAAGATTCATTGGAACAGATCGTTTTTTTTAGGGTACATTGCACCCATCCCAATTGCAAATTGACCGCTGGCGTTTGCCTACAAAATACACAACACTTTACAATGAAATTCTATGAAGACTTTTGAGACATCCTCCTGACGTGAAAGACAAATGCAAGATTTATTATTACTCTGATGATAATTATTATCCCAATGTCTTTTACAACCTTTGCATGATCATTTGTGCTGATCTAAACCACCTTTCTATTTCCTTGCTCTAGTCCTTCATATGTGTCTGCACATGTTTCTAATTTTTGCCCTTAATGAGCAGCTTTGGATGCTTTGACTGTGAACTATTATACGCACTTTACACAAATAATTGGCCATCTTTAAGTTTACAAGATTAAATGAGGGGTTGTGTGTTATTGGAAGTACACTGCCAGGCTCCCCCAATTGGTAAAGTCACTGTCTGGCATGAAACCGAGCTCACGAGTTTGTCTAGTGGTATACATAGACCCCCTGATGGAAGGAAACTTACTTGTTATTTTCCTCCCCTTCGCAGTTGAGTAACCTACTGACACTCAGTGTCTCAATTGACATATGTAGAATGACCCTTGGGTGAGGTACTAGATGGAGTATGGAGCCCCCGACAGTCTCTTTCCTCCCCCCAAACACGCATACAAGAAAAATAAATGGGAAATAAAGAACACTGCAATCAACTCAATTGAAAGTATGGGGTGCAATTTACAATTTTTCATAATGACGTCCCTGTGATAGTTATCACATGGAACTTGTTATAAAATGTCACAAATTTCAACCCTGTTATGTTCTGACTGGAAACTGGATAATGAACAAGCATTTCCACCCCTGATTATTATTCACTGACCCCTGCTGGAAGGTGTGTGGGTGTGTATGTGTGCGTGGTGCATCTGTTTGAGCGTGTGTAGAGTGTGAGTGTGCGTGTGTATATGTGTGTGAGTATATGTGTGTGTCTTTGTGTGTGTGCAGACATCGGGTGACATCCTTTCTTGGCATCCATGGATCAAAATACCCGCTGGGAACAACTGTCTAGGCACAAATATGAAGAATGACCATTTGAGAAAGTGTTCAGCTTTTTTATCCTCTCCAAATCTCTTCTGATCTTTACTGATTTTCTCCCAACAGAGTTGGACTCCTTTTCCTAATGCATAGACTTTCCACAGTTACCCTGGTACCCTCTGGTGCCTCATCCAAGTGGTCCTTTATTCATGTTGGAGCCCAAACAGTAAGCTCTGGTAAGTCATTCTTTAATGGGGATGGAAGGTGATATCACAACTTAAATCCTGTCCACCCTGATGTGAAAGGGTCTTCAGATAGCAATCAGGAGCAGGAGTAATTTGCAGGTTTATTGGGAAATGCAGGTAAACAAGACTGAATTGCTCTTTCAAAGAGCCAACACATACATATGATGGCTTTCTCCTGTGCTATAATTTTCTATAGTTCTACAATAACGGATGGATTTATTGCTAAGGCATGAAGTATTCTTGAACGGTGTGTGTGTGTATATGTGTGCCATGACTCTGTGTACATAGCCAACGCCAATGAAGGGATTCTATACACCTCAGCAAACAACCCAGTGCCATCTGTTAGTTCATATAATAAACAGCGGACAGGTTTCTAATAGAATTTGATGGCTTCCCTCCTGGGTATGAATGGATTGCTGTAACCAGGAGCCTTGGCCCGGTCAGAAGACAGTAAGGGGGCTTGTTATTGAAGTAATTGGTGAATGATGTCAGAGGGCAAACATTACAGATTTATTTAACATTTTGCACTACTTTAAACAGCATTTGCTTTGCTTTTTGTCCGCAAAGAAATTTCAGGGACGACAGTCGAGGACCAGGGAGGGGAGACTTTGCAAAAAAACTTTTTTTCAAATTACATCATTTTTTTAAAAAAAAGACTGGCGGAAAAAACTCTTTCCATGTGTTGGCTCAGAGCGTTCTTAGCCTTGTCATTCTTGCAGATGTTGTAAGGATTTGTGAGATTGCCAGTTGTCAATCTCAATCAAATTGTTTTTCTGCAAATCCTACACTTTACACAAAAGTGGCAACAAGACATTAAACTGAGATCCGTATGCCTCTAAGCTGTCATTAAAGATCCCATGACACTGTTCGAAAAGTGAAAGGAGTTTCTCCCAGTGTCCTGGCTAACACTCCATGGCTGTTTGTGGCCTTGATGTGCGTAAATTGGCTTCTGTATTAGCTTACGAATGCACCTACTGATGCTTCTCCTAAAAATCCAGTCACTACACATTGCAGTTAATTCCTGTGAAGCTCTTTGAGATCCCAATGTGAGACGCTATATTAAATGCAAATGCAAGGATTGTTTTACAAAAGTACACAGTCATCGCACTTTACAGTAAACCTTATGAAGCATTTGCCCTTCTCTGATGGTCTTGTATGTAAAGGCACTGTCTGGAACAGCAACATGCACACATGGTGGGGGTGGGATCAGTCAGGGTCCTTGCTCCTGTGATTGCTACTCTGTGACTGTTGTTGGAAACTGTGTGCCTGTGGGTGTGTTGGCTCAGACCAGAATCTGGTTTGGCTGTGATATTCTGCATGGTTGTACTCGTTGTCAGGGACACGTTTAAAGAGTAGGTACTTAGTAAGATGCCAGATACCCTCAAAACAGCACCTGAGCAGCAGTCAGCTTCAGGAAAGAGTGCAGAAAACTGGCAACACAAAGGTGTCAGCCTGGCTCAGCTGGTAGCTCTTATCAGAAGGTTGTGAGTTCAAGCCTCACTTTGGGACTTTGATTCTGTATAATCTATGGTGACACTCCAATGCATTGTTGGAGGTACTGTCCTTCACATGAGCTGTTACACCAAGGGGCTGTCTGCCTGTTTGGCTGGATGTTAAAGATCCCATGGTACTTTTTAAAAAGTGAATGATGTTTCTCCCAGTATCCTGGTCAACAATCCCCCAAATAAAATTGATTATTCATTTCATGGCTGTTGTGGGACATGGCTGAATGCAAATTGGCTGCTTTTGCCTACAAAAATATACAGATACTGCACTTTACAGTATCTTCTGTGAAGTGTTTGAGATGTCCTCATGTCATGCATACAGCAGAACTAAACCAAATGCAAAGGGTATTACTATAAAATGGCTGATCTCATGTGAAAAGATAAACTGTAAACAAAAAATAGAGAAGGAGAAATTTTGCAATCTAGAGAAAGTTTTTAAGGGAGAAAACCACACCAACAGTTTACCAATAACAGCTTGCACTTATACAGTGCCTTTTGCGAAGGATAACATTTGCTTCACAGACACAGTATGCATCATTAAATAAGGTAGGAAGAAGACGGAAAGCTTTGTGGATGTTGACAAAAGGCATTGTCAAAGAGTTGTTTTAAGAGGGAGAAAAGGTGTAAAGCTCAATCATCAGTGGTAGAGGAAGTAGAGGGTGAGGCAGTAATTCGTAGGTGGAGGAGCAATGGGTACAAACGGGAGGATGGGGTTGGAGAAAATTAAATGAAATATTAAGGAAAACTCCCAAACTATGTAATTTGAGAGCTTTTTCTAAGAAAATAAGCACTTATAGTAATCAAGTTACTACCCAAATTGGATCCTCTCACAGCTCTGTTCCTGAATACTTCTTTTCATATTGAAAAGGAAGCTGACGCTGTTTGCATTAAATACAATAGACAAATTCAGATGATCACAAGAGAGGCTAACATTCCTGCTGGTAAAACTGATCATTCACTCCATGGCTGTTTGGGAAATAGCCTTGTGCAAATTGGCTGCTGCGTTCGTCTACAGAATTTACAGTCACTACATTTTACAGTAAAATCCTGGGAAGCACTGTGAGACAATGTGATAAGGAACTATATCAAATCCAAGGATTATTATTGTATTTATTGTCTCATGGATAAATACTTGAGAAAAAGTAATATTGAAAGGTATGGGGAAAGAACAGGGGAATGGGATTAGAGTAGACAACCCCAGTGAAGAAGCTAGTACTATAGCAGGACAGACAAAATGGGCTGGAATTCTCCTGTGCTGTAAATGTCTTATGATTCTATAATTGAACTTCAAGACGACGGGGGAGGGAGGAGGCAGAATGTGATAAGTGATGTGATAATTATCACCTGGAAAGAAAAAGCTGTGTTAATTGTAAGAGAGGATCTGGTGAGGGAGGGTTTCAAAGCTACTCCCATGGCCATAAATAAAGGCAACCCCATACCTTGCTCATCAACATTGAATGTTCAGAGCCTATGGGTGAAGTCACAGGGATATTCACTCGTAAACCTGTTGTTAAGGATAGTTTTTAAGGAAATATTTTAAACTGCATTTTCTGTTCATGAGAACATTTCCACCCTTGATAATCATTACATCACACACTGGAAAATCTCTTCCCCCCCCATCCCTCCGTTCTTCTGACTCTGAAAATATATTTCTAAAAAGGTTTCATTTTAGGAAGAATTATTTCCCCTGTAAAGTTAATCAAACAATTTCAGTTCTTTTTTTCTCTCTCTCTCAGCATAAATACAGCTGGTGATTTGCACATGTGAATTTACTTCACGTCTTTCAGCCACGTCCAACACTGCACAAGTAATTCAAGATCTATATAAAGTACAAAAGGATTGTTTCCTTCCACGTATAAACAGGTTGCCACCACCAAGGTAATGAGTTCCAGGCGTTCTGTCGCTTGTCCAAAAGACCCCAGTAGCTTATTCCTGTCCGTATCGCAGGTGAGTTATAGATCATTTAGGTTTATGAAATAAATTATCTCGGGTGAGATAGCCTCAATGCATTCACCATTCATACTGATAGGAAGCATGGAGGTCTACTCTGAACACCGTCACAATATTACACTCATAGACTGTGTTCGGATGGGAAGGGGTTATTCTGCTTGATTGTGCTCAAGGTATATCATTTCACCTAGTTAATAGCCTATTTGAGGCTATTTTGACTATTGTGCAGAATTGCAGCAAAAATTCTTAAATTCAGTCTCAACTTGGAAGCCGGTTTTCCACATTTCTTAAAAATGTAAATGGTTGTTGTTTAAAGCTCCTGGGACAATTTTTTGAAACACACTGAAAGCAGCAGAATAACCTTCAGCTCAGATCAGCAAATTCAAAACCTGGAACACAAGGAGCAGAATAATCTCCAATTTACTTAAAAGTTCCAATTCTAAACCCTAAATTTCAATTTTCTAAGCATTACTACATCTTTAAGTTACGGTTTCCTGCTCCAATTCTCATACGCATGTTCCTAGTCAAGTGCCACCTTTCTACGGCAGTTTTGGAGTTAGTCTGATCTCCTTTCATGCAGGCACTGAGCCAATACTGACTAAATGTCCAAATGTGGATTGGGGGGCCGGTGGGGGAGTGGTCTCACACGACTCAGAAAACTACAGTATAACACAGTCGCTGTGAAGCAATGCCAATAAAAATTATATATTTTTCAACTTTAAGGAAACTTCTGGGAGGCTGTTGAACCACCATTGATTGATGTATTGATGATGGAAAAGAGCTGTCTGTCATCAGCAGCCAAAGGTTGGTGAGCAACACTACACACATGCCTTTGAGAGTGAGAACCCACTTCCAAATTAGGACTGAATTTAAGAATTTTCCATGATTCTGCGTCATCTTAAATACTAAGACTAAACAGCATCATGGGCTAAGACCACGTGGAATTGCAAAGTGCAGAAAAAAAGAGGAAATAAATCTCTATGTACACAACAAAGCTACTGGTAAGATTCTCTGTCCTTCCCCAGTTAGGATCTTTCTACCTGGGTTGAGGAAACGTCCACTTGTCCAATAATAATAATAATCCTTGCATTTGATAAAGTGCTTTTAACATCTTCTAGATGTCTCAAAGCATTTCACAGAATATACTGTAAAGTGAATTGACTGTATATTTATGGGCGAAACACGGCAGCCAATTGCACACAGCAGTGTCCTACAAATAGTCGTAGATTGAGTGACCAAGTTATTTTTTTTATTTGAGGGATTATTATCCCCGGAAAAGCAATCCCCCAATTGACTAACAACTGGGTTACTGCTCGGTAAACAGAGAAGTGTGGAGTAAGGAAACTTGCCCAACATTTCTCCCTGCTGGGAATCAAACTGAGGTCTCTCACTTGCAAGGCGAATGTTATAACTACTGAGCTACAGGACTCCACAGGCTCATTGATAAGTAAAAATTATGGAATCATCAAATATTTTTAGCACAGAAGTCCATTTGGCCCATGGTGCCTGTGTTGGTCTCTGTGAGAGCTATTTGTTCAGTCCCACCCGCCTGTCTTTTCCCCATACCTTTATAAATGTTTCCTTTTCCAATATTGAAAGCTACATTATTATAGAATCTATCTTCAACTTCCGTTTTTGGCACCTCTCTTTGCAAAAAAAAACTTCTGATTTTTTTGGTTATGATCTTAAATTTACATCCGCTAGTTACCAACTCATCGACAAGTGGAAATATTTTCTGTACAGGTCAAAGTCAGGTATCTATAATCCACTGCTCAAGTGAAGATCTTGGTGGTTTTATCCCAGATGTCAACTGAACCCGAGGAAGAGCCTACTACCCGAACCCCTTCTTACATACGTACTACCACTTTCCCAAACCCCACCCCCACCCCCACTCAATAGATTTTATTTTGCAAATAACATTTTAAATTTATTTTCAGGGGTTTGAAACCACAAATCACACTGCAGAGACTAAACCTAAAATCAATATTTGTCGGTTTCCAGCACTTACAAAAATATACCATTGAAGTCAAACTTGGTACAAATATTTCAGTTGGATTCAGACTTTTCTCACAATATTTCCCAACCCTGAGGCCAATTCAAACAAGCAAATATTAGAAGAAAAAGAGAAAAAAAAATCATCAAACATCCGATTTATGTAAAAGTTGTTCATGTCTGTCCAAGCCAGCATCCCAAGCCTGATTCATATACATTCTCCAACAGAGTAAGATGGAAAATCCTGGATAGGAGGTGTAAAGCAGTGGTGGCCTACCTTTATGGTTGACCTACAAATATTAATAAATAATAATATTCCTTGATTTTGATATAGAGTCTTATCACATCTTTGAGATGTCTCAAAGAATATAGAATACACTGTAAAGTGTAATGACTGTGTGTTTTGTGGGCGAAACGTGGCAGCCAATTTAGTATCTAATATCCTCATTCTGTCCAATGTTTTATAATAAGATCAGTTTTCTTTGCAGTATTTCTTATTGGATTTCTTAATTAAACCCAGTCACGTTGACTCATGGGAGCACTGCTCAAAGTTAACCTATTTTCAAATGGGAATAACAAGCATGGGGTACGTACTTCCAGTTATCGGAAGCTGTACCAATTTGGATTTCTTAATTAAGAGCTGTATAATTGATAGTACTTCAAATCCTCAAATTTATTTTTTAGGAACATGTCAAAAGAGGGATGAATAGACAGAGCTGGCAATCCAACCCAGGTCTTTCTGGTCCCAAATCTAGTCCTTAACGAGCTGAGCTACCTGGTATTGGTGATGCTCCATTATAACGATAATAAATAATAATAATATTCCTTGAATTTGATATAATTCCTTATCACATCACTGAGATGTCTCAAACTGCTTCACAGAACTTTACTGTGCAGTGCAGTGATGTGGTTTATATAACATGTAGGAGTAGGAGTAGGCCATTCGGCCCTTCGAGCCTGCCCCGCCATTTAATCATGGCTGATCTTCTAATCTAACTCCAGCTAATAACCTGACCCTGCCTTATCCCCATATCCCTTAATCCCTTTTGCAATAAAAAATATATCTATCTCAGTCTTGAAAATGTTCAAGGACTGAGCGTCAACAGCCCTTTGGGGTAGCGAGTTCCATACATTCACCACCCTTTGAATGAAGAAGTTCTTCCTCAACTCAGTGCGGAAGGGCTGGCTCTGATTTTACGGTTGTGACACCTGGTTTTAGTTTCTCCAACCAGGGGAAACAATCTCCCACTATCTACTCTATCATGCCCTTTGATGATCTTATAGGTTTCTATAAGATCCCCTCTAATTCTTCTATGTTCTTGAGAATATAGGCCCAAATTGGTCAGCCTCTCCTCATAACTCATCCCCTTCATCCCTGGTACTAACCCAGTAAATCTACGCTGCACCCCCTCCAAGGCAAGTACATCCTTCCTTAACTAAGGAGACCAAGACTGCACACAATATTCCAGATGTGGTCTCACCAGGGCCCTATACAGTTGCAGCAAGACTTCCCTACTCTTATACTCTAATGCTTTCATAATGAATGCTAACATACAGTTCGCTTCCCTAATTGTTTGCTGCACCTGCAGACTAACTTTCTGTGATTGGTGTAGAAGGACACCCAAGTCCCTCTGGACGCTAACACATTCCAATCTCTCCCCTTCTAAAAAATAACCCGCTCTACTGTTTTTGCTACCTAGATGGATGACTTTGCACTTCCCTACATTATACTTCATCTGCCACCTACCTGCTCGATTACCTATGAGAGTATCAAGGTAGCTGCAGTTTGCTGCTGTTTTGTTGCTTCTTCAGACTTTTACAATTGAGTGCACAGGCAACTCCACCTATTTTGAACATTTCTCACTTATTGCAGAAAAGGCAAACACGACCAGAGGAGGGACTTCCCTTAACCATACAATGCCCAAATCTGGAGGTTGAAGAATGTTCCGCACTGCATAGCAGGAGAAGCACAGCTAACCATCTGGAACAGAGGCACAGCTGTAATAAAGCAAAGAGAGGGGAGAAAAATAGTTTTGCAATGTGCCAATTTGTTGGACAACTTTAAAGCATATTTCGAATTGCTTCAGCGGCTAGATTGACTGCACAACATCAAATGGCCTAACATCCTGGAGACTGATGTTGGAAGTTGTGCCCTCACTTTAATTATGTTAGTAATTGGGTCGCCAGCCACAGAACAATATCTTGATATAAAGCTTTTCCATCCTGTTAACTTCTGGTTTGCGACGTTGTTCATTTGTAGAGGTAACCAGGCCCAATAGAAAATCTTTGGTGAATCTTCTCTCATGGAGCTCATAAAGGTGATTGCTTTCACATTTTTCTGAAGGCTCAGTGGGTAAATGTACAATGTGGTATGTTAATACCTTACACTTCTTGTGCCTTGGGTGCCTTGTTTCCTACACTATGCATGAGTGCCGTTGATATCACTTCCTTCCCGAAATGACATGAGTGGCACTTACTGTGTATCGTGCACAACACGCAGAAAGTGAAGTCACTGGCGATTTTATGCCCTGGAAGTCAGCCTTTTATTTAGCATGGGAAGCCGGCTAGCCAGCACCAACTTCCGTCCAGTTAGCCCATGTTCACAGTAGACCTGCGCTATAAGTAATGCACAACTATAGCGCTATCACGCGGTTCCCCTGTGAAATTACATATTCTACCCCATAATGTAAATATTACAATGTTCGTTGAAGGCCAGACTGCACTACATTACAATCTCCCCCACAATTGGCTGCTGCGTTTCGCCCATAAAATACACAGGCAATCCACTTTACAGCATATTCTGTGAAGCGCTTTGAGACGTCTCAACGAAGTAATAAGGCGCTATATCAAATGCAAGGATTATTATTTATTATACCTTTTTACAAAGCTCATTCTACCAATAAGATTGCAATACACTACAGATGTGGATCACATCACCTTCTTGCATATATTTCAAATGGCCAAGTTGTCAT